TCGGGCAGTTTTGAATTAGCGCTTACCCAAGCAACAGCTCAAATGATGCATTGATGACCAGAAATTCAACCCTTGGCTCTCCACCAATACCGTAATCAATACCGTACACGTTTCAGACGAGTACGGTCTGGACAAAAGTTTAGAAGCGAGTTTCAGGGTTATGCCTAAAACATTAGCTGCTGCTTGAACATCAACTGAGTTAAATTTCCTATTTAATTTCATATAAACACTTGAACACCTAGATTTTTGGATATTACTTTTGACAATAAATGTATTGAAAGTAGCTTCACTTCGCCAGCGCAGACTATTGAATTTATAATGTTTTCTAACATTTTCCTTGTCGCGCTCTGACGTACTTCCCGATCTTGACGCATGTGTTTTTTAACCCCGTCTACGCAATTTTTTCCCACATCGAATCTCGAATCGAATCTAGCCACGGACAGCACTCCATGCAGCTGCTTTGATTGCCGACCGCTTTGTCTTCGATTCACTCACTCGCTCTAACATTTCCGGGCTGCTCTAGCCTTGCGGGCCCCCGATGATCTCTCTAGACCACCCCCTTCTCCGCGTCGACCCGAGGGAGGAGAGCACCCCTTTAAAAATTCATGACAAGTGTGTAGAGAGTGTTGCGCAAAGAGTACTCAATGAGCTGATGTTAGAGGCGCAGCAATTCTGGGAAGCGTATACCCAATAAGTAAATCTCTTACCTGCATGTCGGGAGCAGATCGAAGAGAAATTTTCCAGTCCTGGAACTGAACGAGGTTTGTGTTGGCGGTGGCGGCGGCGCAAGGCGAGAACTGGTCTCCGGCGTACTGTAGGCAAAAATGGCCGCGCCGCAAGCCAATGCGAAAATAAAGCGAACGCAGCGCGCCAGTAACGTAGCCATTACGTCATCTGAAGCGAAAAGATGGGGATATGGAAAGAGGAATTAAACGAGAATAAGGGTAAAGCAACGAAAACAAAAAATACCCGCAATCTCTGGAAAACTTGAAAATTGAAAAGAGCTCGGAAAGTTCTAAAGAAGCAGATGGGTCAAAGTAAATAGCAGTTTAGTGGAAATAAGGTGAGGAAGGAAATGATAATAAATTGAAGAAAAATCGATGGGTTTACAGTAACTCTGCGCTACAGTAATCTTACCGTATGCTATATGATGGGTAAAGGTACCGAGATAATGACGTGTACATCAGTGTGCCAAAATGTAGTCAGTTCACTGAACGAAATACTTTAAAATCAAACGTGAATTAATATTTGCTACATATTATAAGTTTGATTTTTATTCATTTTTTTGATTTTTCTTATAAAACTCTTGGTCAGAGTTAAATTGCTTTAAACCATGATTTTTGCAATAAATGACATATAAGAGACGAAATATTGAGTAGCATATGGTGTGCACAAGAGTTGCTTCGAAGAAGTATCATAGACAATGATGCCCCCATTGTTTAACATCATGAAATACTGGAATTGCATAGCTTGCAGCTGGAAATCCTAAGAAAAAAGGTAGACATGAAGTCAGACGGATTTGCGAGTCATCGCATACATTTTTCGAGAGGAGGAGTGGGAGAACTTGCTTGTGTGATATTAGAAAGGTTGAAACATAGATCTTGCACCAAACTCCAAAAAAATCATAAGAAATACTCAGGCAGCCAATTCAATCTCTGAAATATTTCTTCTATTGTATGCAATAGGTAGGGGTATTTCACGCATGTTAAGAGCTCTAATCTGATCGGAATCAAAATTCGAGAAAGAAAAATTGAAAACCGTAACTTTCGGCAGAATGGTCCAGTTAGCATTAATCCATCTCAGTAAAAGACGTGGATCAAAAATTTGAACTAAAAGTGAAATTATTTAGAGATTATATTTATAGAGATTCCAAAATTTTTTTGGCAATCAAAAATCAAAAAAAAAACTTGAAAGTTTCTATTTATCACTTTTTCCGCTACATAACAACATTTTTTTGTTTGAGCATTGGCAAAAATGCCTGAATTTTCTCTGTCTATATATTTTATGGAACGGATTCACTAAGATTTAAGGCTTATGGATTTTTCAAAATTTTGGTGCAAGACTTACGTTTCATCCTAATATCATAAGTCACATGGACGCTTTTCAAATATTCATCGACGTACTTTTACAGAATCTAGTACTTCATGTACTTCACTTCACATCACGTACTTATGTCGGGGCTCGGAATTTCGTACGAAGTCCCTTTTTACTCTAAACCTTAGACATAAAAAACCTTAAAAAGAACAAAACATCGGCTAAAAGGTGCTAGCTGTGCCAAGTCCTGACGGTATGTTGATAAAGGGAATTTTTGTAGCAATTTTTGGAGAATCGTCATAGTCTATAGCTTTTTAGATCAATAAGCATAGAGTAACACGCGATAATTATACAAACTATTACTAAGTCACTGAGAAAAAAGTTTTTCTATTGATTTATGCGTCATACTTGGTTTGCAAATAAGCTGAATGAATCGGCTTCCGCTGCGTCTTTACTAGAACTTGTCGTCCTTTTTTCATTTGAATAACGAGAAGAATTTGAAGTAAAATTTCATCGAGAATTTCAGGAAATTGACGGTGGAAAAATTTGAATTATATGGTAAGAAATTTTGGTCAGTTTTGGTTTTCTGTCTAAGATTCCTCTTTTTTAATATCTTCAAACAGAAATATACTGGTGATAAAATCAATCCAGAAAAAATGGTTTAGTTCAGAACTCTTACATACTCTTACTTTTTATCTTTAAATCGGTAATATTTTGTATCATAATTTCTTTTGCTCAAATTTGAGGACCTATTTCAAAGAAGTAAAAATTTTTTTCTTTTGAATGAATAGAGTTTGTTGTTATAAAATTTTATGAGCATTTGTTTTATGTCGATGCAATTTGTCGTAATTTTCTCCTTTTTGTTCGTCAAATAAACAACTTACTTCTCTAGACAAAATGAGAAAATGATCTGCTATTTTGTAGCTCAAAAACCATCTTTACATTATTGCGTGTAGAACACTCAAAATTCCCAGATCCCTATTGTCTGGAGAGTTACAAATTTACAATTATGTATTTTCCTAGCAGAAATGGATAATTATGACTCCCCAGAGCAAAGATGGAACACCCGCAAGGGGTAGCTGCGGAAGAGCTTAAAGTGGGAGTCGGAGCGGAACGACAGACTTTTGAATCCCCTTAGGCCTCATCAATGGCTATGACGCTTGGCCGTAAATGACATAGTCTTTTCCGCAATTGCAGCCATCAAAATGGCTTCATGATGGGCCATCAAAGAACTCAAATGCGACTGGAAGTGACTGTAGGTAGCAATTTTTGTGGAAAATGTAGGGTTTTAGAGAGTTTATGGCAATTTATGGACAACAATTGTGACGCACAAATCGCTTCAGAAACTTCGTTTGACGAGTGGGTGAGAAAATTGAAGAAGCACTCCCGCCTCCCCCGCCCTCTTACTTCTTCAAGCCCCGCCCTTCGCTGGCACGAAAGCCCTATATAATATTCAAAATAAGTGGGATTAGCACTTGAACTAAAGCAGTTCTGCTTGTGAATATTTCTTGGCTCAGAGCCATTTTTTACCTCAACAGGAAATGCGCACGAGGGAACACTGCAGCTCAACCAGTTGAATTTTTTTATTGGGAAGGATAAAAACCCCGCAAAAAATCTTCCAAGAATTTAAGCTTGAAAGTGCAAGGAAATGGAAAATATGGATGGACCGAAAAAATGAGCAAAAAATGAAAATGAAATGGAAAAATGGACTCATGGTTAATACATGAAAAATATTGTTTTTGACCTGGAAAGGATTATAGATTTTTTAACGAATCTTTGTAACGTCTTAGCTTTCAGATAAATGAAAAATGAAAATGAAATGTCAAAGAAGGAAAATATTAGGTGGGTCCGAAAGTTCTGTCGTTTCATTTTCAAAAATTTATAACTTCGCGCTGTTTCAACGGATTTGCTTGCTTTAATTTTATTAGAAAGAATAAGCCTTTCGCTTTCAAATGCTGTTCCGTGGAGCTTCTGTTTTGTACTGGGTGCGGAGATAAAAATGGAAACCAAGACCATATAAGCTTTAAACATTTTAAGTTAGGTCACCAAAAATCTGGAACGCTGCAAAAAAATCTGAAATCGTCAGTACATATGTTCTTTAGCCCACTCTTTGCAAATGTGAAGAGTTTGTGCTGTTTGGACGTCTCTGTGAAAAGTTATGAATATCGAGTTTACCATGGAAAACGTCAAAATGAATTGATTTGTTAATTTTCGCGAAAATCATAACTTCTCACTGGTACGTAAAAACAGCACAAATTCTTCAAAGTTGCAAAAAGTAGGCTAAAAAACATAGGTACTGACGATTTCAGATTTTTCTGCAGCATTGCAAATTTTTGGTGATTTAACTTAAAATGGTCAAAGTTTATATGGTCCTAGTTTTCCATTTTTATCTCCGCACCCAGTATAAAACAGAAGCTCCACGGAAAAGCATTTGAAAGCGAAAGACTTATTCTTTCTAATAAAATTACAGGCAAGCAAATCCGTTGAAACAGCGCAAAGTTACAAATTTTTGAAAATGAAACGACAGAACTTTCGGACCCACCTAATATAATGAAGTGTTTATGAAGAATTCGGTAAAATCGATACAAAATCATACATTTGAGAATGCAAAAAGTGATAAAAAACCTGTATCTCCAATTTTTACTAAATTTTGGGAAATTATCTAAAACGATGCTTAGTTCAGTTCTCACATGTGCTAGTTCCAGTCTGGCAACTGTGAATCTCAAAATTCTCAGTAAATCGCTAGGAAGATCCGTCTTACCCCGTTAAAAAGTCAAAACCCATATACGACATTTTCGCTAATTTACAAATAATTCTAGGATTTTTTATTGCTCCACAGGTTCTTTTTTTGGCTGTAGCAAGTGGTATACCCCGTGTGTCCAAATCGTAAAATGCTATGATTTTTTCCCGTCGATACCAAGCCTTTCCCTATGATTTTCGGTTCAGGTTCAGACATCTGTACACAACAACATGAAAAGTTTATGAGTCGCTGATGTCTAAAGCGAGCAACCACTCAAAAATCGTGGTCTATTCGCATGTGTTCTTTGAATTTGATTCTGAGAGAGTTTCGTGACATACAACTTCAAAAAAGTGAAATCAGGCGGTTAAAAAAAATCAGACTATTGCTGAAAAGACTAAATTGCAGGCAGGAAAGTTCCAAATTGTGGTCGTGGCGATAGCCTCACAATGATAAATGAGCTAAAAATAATCACAATGTTTTGAAAAGAGGCATCGTACTTTATTCGCAATTTTGATGCAAAAACATTCAACATTATCATTCATCATGATCAGGGCTCGACACGATGTGGCTTACAAGCAAGCTGGGTATCGTTTTTAAGACGAAAAGCAAGGGGGGTTTCGTTTTTGTGGCCGAAGAGACACGCAAAATTGGTGATTTGGTGACGTTTCTTTTTTCTAGTCGACCTTTCGTTTTTTGGGGGATTTTGGGGATTTTTTCAGGTTTTTAGAGGCTATGTGGTTGAGGGTCAAAGGGGACTTCGTAAAAATTCTCAAAAGTCAAGGGGGACTTCTTTTTTTGCATTTTCATCTAGCCACCTCGTGCCGAGCCCTGATCATTATTTATCATTCTGCTCTAAAAATAAGTCGAGGAATGAAAAATTATGATGCAGCATACTTGAATAACATACAAATAAAGAAGAGGTATTGACAATTTTGGAAGTACATATAAAAGTTTCTTCATAGATACATTTTTTAATAAAAAAAGCAAAGTCTTTGAAAGAAAGAATGTCGAGAGATAGAGTGAAGAAGCAAACGAAATTGGTTACTCTCTGCGTAGAAATGCAGTTATTTACTCTATTCACTGCAAAATAAAATTGTTAGAAAATCTAGCCA